TTTAAGCGGGTTTTCCCCGCCCCATTCGAGATGGGGCCCCGAGGGTATCAGGTTTGTCGGGTTTTTTTGCCATCCTTACTATGAAATGATGTACTAGTCAAGGGGATGAGGCCATGTGTCCTCAATTCAACTATCATCATTGCACATGTAACATTATAAATAAACCCGTTAGTGTTTTAGGCGGGGGTTGGAAAAAAGAAAAGGAAAAAGGAGAAGAAACTCAAATATACTCTCTCTTTTTGATATTACAATTTGGAAGAAGAACATTATGTAATGTCGGAGTTTATCCAGTTTCTCATTTAATCGTTCATTATCGTATCATTTTGCTTTTGTAATTGTAGAATCCTTAACATATTTGTCTCGTGTTAAAAGCTTCTCCCACGTTTTAATTCCATATCTTAGACTAGCAACCCGTCATCACGTGTCGGAATTAGCTTTGTACAACACAAGTTGGCCCAGTTTCTGCTGGCACATTTTTTGTGGTTAACAATTACAAGATTACAAATTTCATGAAGATAAGCACAAGCACTAACACGCAATTCTTTAAATTGGATAATTAAATAGCATTTCTTTAAATTATAAATTTAGCAAACACTACCTTGTAATCGAGAATCTCCTCCACCAATTCAAATCTTTAGTCAAAAATTACGTCAAAAAATCGAGTCAAAAAGCCAAGGCACGAGTAGCAATTAGAGACAGAGGAGAATTTTAATAATTAGGTTTTTGATTTTTGGTTTTAAGTAATAATTTTCTTTTTAATATTTTTTAATTTATTGGGTTATGTTGAGTTTGATTGGGTTTTAATAAATAACCTAGAACCCAACTCAGTCTAAAATTTGATTTCCTAATTCGAACCCAACCCAATTGAACTAAAAAACCAAACCAACCCGGTTGGTTTAAGTTGGGTTGATCGATTTAACTGGTTCGAATTGATTTTTGCTCAGCCCTAAGAAAAACTGTGTTCGACCAAAAATATCAAATTACTCATTTTTGAATCTTTTTGGTAATATATAAAAATTTTAAAAGGTCGCAACGTCTAAAATAGGAAGAAAGTTGGAACTTGGAAGGGATCGATTGGTTTAATAGTCATTACTAACAAAATATGATCGATTATATAACACTATTTAACTTTAATAACTATGTTGATTAAAAAAATAGATATATTTGAAACTTTGNNAAAAATAGATATATTTGAAACTTTGCTAGAATTATGGTGACATTAGTAAAATTAACTCTTTCTTATTTGGATAAATTAAGTGAATTTCTTACTTGTTAAGCAAAGAGAAAAACACGTGGAATTAAAAATAAATATATTACTTATTTTCATAAAAGGGCTAATATTACGACTACGATTTTTATTTGGTCCATCGTATTGTAATTTATAAACGCGCTGCAATTAAAATACATTTCTAGTAAGTACATCATATTTATTTATAAATATAACCTACTGTAATTAAAAAGGGAAAATAAGAAGAAGAGAAGAACCAAATTCACATCTATTTAGAGAGTATTTGCATTGTACATGCGATATTTTCTAAATTTATATTTGAAATATTACAATTTACAATTTTACTGTAGAATT